CAATATATTATCTTTAAAACTGATTAAAAAAAAAAAATCATTATTCGTATAATTAATTTAATAAATTTTTATACATATTATAAGTGTGCAAATTGGGTAAAAATTGAGTATAAAGTAACATCTACTCAAAAGCCAAAATTATATGATAGAATAATTATTATTATTAAAAATATTAAAAACTTAATTAATCAAATTAAAATTAGTAATTAATATCGCATATTGTAAGATAAACATCTTAAATATTGAATTGTTGGTATTTCAGAGCAATTTTTCACGATTATTTTTATTTTTTTATCATGATCCTTATACATTTTACGACGTGGTGGACTTGATTCTTCCGGAAAACGTCTTTCCAATTGAACTTGATATCACGTAATTATTATAATTGTTTACTAAATAAATAAACCAAATAAGATAAAATATAAATACCTCTTGTAACACTTATTCTTGTTTTAAGAAGCATATGAATTTCCATATTAAAACATAGTTTGTTTCAAGTACAGCGTTGAAAACGTGATTCTATCCTTCTAATAAATTATTTGTGCGTAGAAAATCTTATATTACTAATTCATAGAAATTCAACATATGTATACTAAACATTGGCGAGCGTCGCCCATTTCGAAAGTTAAGACATCTGATCCATATATCAAAAAATAGTTGATCATTGTAGATAGAATATTTTTATTGTCAACAAAATAATTTGAATCAATTAAGTCATTAAAATATTATACACTTTTATTCATTGGAACATAAGCAAGTGCACATAGATGTCGAATTTGTAATGAAAATTCTGCATATTCAGTATACATTTTTTGTGATTCATTGTTTTTTATTTTACGTTACATACATTGTTGCAAATATAAAAACACCCTTTTATTTCCTAATTTTACATCTATATATGCTAATGAATTATTGTTCAAAACCAATCATAATACTATTCGGAATCAAATTTGGTTCAAATCTTTTAAAAGTGTTTAAAAATTCTTTAAAGGATTGTTTTATATGATCAGCCAATAATACGTAAACAACAGAATATGTTGTTCGGTTATAACAAACGTGTATCGTGGCGTTTCCCAAAATGTGTTCTACGGAACCTTATTAGGGTTCCACATGATAATCTCAAGGGTTTTGTCAGATGTACTTATATAATTATTAAGAATTTTTTTTAATTATATTTGAAAAAAATATTATTATTAAAAATTATTGCTTTATATTATTTTGATTGAAATTTTTTTTTAAATTTTTTTTTAACTAACTAATTGACAATATCGTAAAAACATTTTTTGGAGTATTAGTTGTTTTTTTTTTTTTTAGAAAAATTAGAGTTGAGTTTGAATTAAAGACATTTGGGGTTCTACTTAACATAAATTATTTCTTAAAGGTGTCGTTGTCGTAAAAGTTTAGGAACCACTGATTTATGTTATATAATTGTGAAAAGAATTTTGGAACCGTCCGAAATGTTTCATCTGCCATCCAAATATGACAGTTTTTATGTAGGTATTTTTAAATTATCAATAATCAAAAATACCAAAATTCTCATTCTTTTTTTATAATCGTTAAGTAAAAATTGCTTATTATTAACTAACTAGTAATCGAGATGTATATTTAAATTGATAACTATTAATGAATTCTGAGTACAAACTTGATCTTTGAATCTCAGTCTACGGATTGTTCGAAAAATCAGTGATTGACTTGAGAATTGAGTTACAAAAACTAGTGGAATAGTAGTAACAGCTAATTAAATTAATTTTGCACACCTGATTACTTTTTGTATCATCTTTACTTCAATTTTTTCAAAAATTTCTTCTACTTGAATTTTGGCACTGTTTAGTACATGTAAATGATAGGATTCCTTTATTATTTTTCCTATAATATATTATATGTATAAATTAATATACTTCGTAAATAATGATATTTATATATTACAATAATTACCTGTTTTATTTTTAGTACTTGTAAAATACAAACTGCATTTATATTTATCATACTCGGTAGATACAACACCAAATACATTTGTTTTTATCATTTTTATAAAAAATATGGAGATATCAAATGTATAATAATAGGTAATTATTTTTTTAACTTATAATGAAAATAAGAGTCATTTTTAAATAAAATTTAAGAGAAAAAAATCAAAAATCATCTGACAAGTAAAACTTTTATGCTTAAATTATATTATATAAACCTGATAAAATCCCCAGTTACAATAATTAAGTTATGAAAATCCCATCTAATAAACAGATAAGGCTTCTACCATTTTTATCTTAATAACATAATATGTACACAAAGTAAATACCTAGTAATTATTAAACTAGCGACTATTTTCAAATATTTTAAATGTCGACCCTAGATACAATAATATGTAACAACAAATGAGCTAATAAAAATCAGTAGGTACAAAAGATATTTTCTTCTAATATATTTTTGTTTAAAGATATGTTGATCGATTATCGCATAAAAGGTCTATAAAGGAAAATATTACAGAGTAGGTGAATAACAGTTTTTTTTATAATTTACTTAAATATAGAGACAGATTATTATATAACTTAATTTTAGGGATATTTAGCTTTAATGTAAATGCAGGTTACACATTTAAAAAATATTCAAAATTGTACACTATGTAGTGTATAATTTACATACAATTCCAAAATGAAATCGTATTGATAGTAGTATAATATGGTATAATCAACTACAATTTTGTGTAACTACAGATATAACTTGCACAAACTTGGGAACTTCTAAGTTCTAATGTAATTATAAACTACTCACCTTGCAAAGTAAATTATCTATATTATATCCTCAAAATCATAACCACACCACTCAACCGTCGACATGGCTGAATAATTAAGGAATGAGGATAAAAGAAATCATAATAAATAGTAAAGAGTATGATGGTATACTTAAATTGAAAAGAGTACTTATTCCCCAAACTACATAAAAAATTAGCTTCTAAATATTATATAGGTGTATTGGATTAAATATATTTTAATATTTGAAATTTATACTATCTTAAAAATTACTATAAATAAATAATATTATTATTAAATTTAATCTAAAATTATTAAGCTTCAAATGTCAATGTATAATATGTATATTCTTATAAATTTAACGTTGTTAATGTTAAGTATAGAAAAATGATAAATTGAGCAAATAAAATATTAAAATAAATATTATTACAATTCATAAAACATAGTAAAAAAGAACAATGATTATTAGTATAACTGTTTATTATATATATATATATATATATATATATATATATATATATATATATATATATATTGTAATATTTTTTAAATATTAAACTTGCCTTCAAACTCGTGAAAAATTCAAAATTAATGAACTCTTTTATACTGTACAGAAAATTCCGATTTACTTTGTCATTTCCCACATTAATGACTATTAAATTTTAATTCCATAATACTTATATTTATTTACGAAAAATAGTTCTAAGCAGAGGATGCGGGTGGAACATATCCTATTTTAAGAATATTCCATGTCATACTCCGTACTCGTATGTTTATATTATTATTAATATTTTCATAATTAATTTGGTAGGATGAACTAATAGTTTTCCTTAACTCATGATTCGATTCAGACAAATACAATTAATGAATCTGAATAATTTGAAAAAATCCTGAGTTCATAAAAAAATGTATGGTAAAAAATTTAAATTCTTTACGATTTGAATAAAACAAATATCTAAAAAATAATCAAAATTTAAACTTTAAACACTTTAAAAAATGTATTATTTAATTTTTAATATTTTTCGATTTCTTGAAAAAAAAAACGTATTAGAAACCTTGTTTTAAATATTTTTATATTCAGAAAGAAATTTTATCAACATGATTTTAAAAAATACAAAAATAAAAATTCATATTCTATATAAATAATTTGTAATAAACATAAATATTTATAAACTGCTAATCTTAATGTTTGGTTAAATTTTCAAGTCATTACAGTTAATAACAAATTCAGTTTTATCAAGAACAAATGTTAAGAAGTATCCCGATTTTTACAATAGTTTTTATTATTTATCCTAATATTATTATAATTTAAATACTCGGGTCAACCTCTTAAAACATAATGACAATTAGTATAACAGCAAAATAAACACATACATGGAATAAAATTAGTATTACATATTTTCTAGTTTTTCTGCTCGTAAAAAGTAATATATTTTGAATAAAATTTTTTTTTTTTTTTGCTTTAAGCAAAACCATTTACAATAAAAGCCATAGTAAATTGTGTATATTGTTATTTGCATCTTAGAATTTAGAAGTATATTATATGATTTAATATGACATTCATACTAATTTAAAATATTTAAGAGTAAAAAAATTTGAAAAACTTTAATGTAAAACAAGTGAAACTATTTAAATTTTCTAAAGGTATTTCTTGTTTTGATACAACCTTTTGAAAACAATCTACTTTAATAATGGAATTAAGAAATTTACATTATTCTCAGTAAAAATGTAGCCATGTAAGAACTTGGGTCATACTGCATGTAATACTTGCAATATTTTGGTTATATTTAATATAAATAAATAAAAATTATGAAACATTACAAAACATTATAAAAAAGAAGCAATAAAAAATAAAAATTATATTATTAAAAAACTAATAACGATTGTTTGCTCTGCGTAACGTATAAAATAAAATAAAACGAATATTATTTATAAATATACATAGGTAGGTATATTAAATTATTTAAATTTCAATATATTCTTCATTATAATTCAAATGATGTTTAAAATAAATCAACAATAATTACTATTTTATCAAAAAGCAAATAATTTGCAAGTGTATTTTTCAACAGTAGTTTATATTGTTTGTATTAAAATAAATATATTTTTATTTTTGTTATTCAGTAATAGATATTATGAACATTGAACCATTACATAATTTGTATGTTTTTTTTTATAATAGAATACTCTACATATTTTTTTTTTATTTTAAATATTTGGTACACGTGAATAAAACTTGTGTTTTTGTTGTAGGTATATCATGTAAGCTTTAAAAAAATATCCATTTGGAGAAAATCTTCGACAATCAACAATAAAATAGAAAACTGGGCTAAGTAATATATTGTGTTGAGAAAGCAATAATACATATGGTATTGTAATATTAAAAATATTTATTATTTTTTATTAATTTTAAAAGACCTAAATATTAATAACTAATGGCAAAATAATAAGTTATTAAAATGTACACTATCATCATTACCATTTTTATTAATAACCATATGTGAAAAAATAATAATTGTTTTATTTTTATTCCTTAAAAAGTGAGAAATTGGAAACAATACGAATGCGATAGTATCACCGAAAAATAATTCCAAAAACCAAAAAATATCGATGTCGAACCACTTAACCAGTTTTAATGCGATGTGCAAAAACGAAGTGCGTATATAAAAACCAATCATACCTACTTGTTTAAATATCATCAAAAATAACGCATTTACTTATTCGATAAAATAATATTAATAAAGGACATAGATAATTATATTATATTGTTTTATTTATACAACTATATTTAACATGTGCAATCTAATATTACACTAAAATTACAAATTTAAAGTAAAAACCTAAAATGTTACAATATTATTATAAATGCATACTAAAAATTAACTAACTTAATAGTGAAAAGAATCAAATATTAATATTCTGTTAAAAAAAATATATAAAACCACAGTTATATAAATCAGTTGTAAATCCATATTATTTATTTCAGATTTAATTTTGTTCTTTAAAAATATTTAAATTATTATCAAAGTGTATCTTTAATATTATTCTAAAAAATGTATTGGCTAGGTCACTAAATTTCAGTTTGAAGTAAAATATTAAATTCAATAATACTGATTTAGAAACTTTTATTATTATTTATTTGAACTTTAATACTTATATCTATATAAAAAAAAAGTTGAACAACAATTAATTGAATACTTATTTCTCAAGAATCAATTTATTTAAGTAAAAAATATAAAAATATTTATATTATATATACTTATAGACTTTAAAAATATTAAAATATAGTTTTAACACAATTATCTTAAAATAAAGTAGTAGGTAAAATATAATACAATTTTCATGGATTATCCAATTTCACTAAATTAATTTTTTCACATTTTTCTATTCAAGTAATACCATAAATTTTATGAAAAAATAAACGTAATATAGACTTATTTAAAATAAAGTTTAGTTTATTTAGTTTTATCTGTGATACTTATAACAGTACTATTTCAAAATATTATTCAATAATTTTTTTGGTTACAAATTGTATACGCTTTAAATTATTTCATAAACATTAGAGACATTATTTTGTTTTTATTATTATTGCTTTACAGTTCAATAAATTTAGTATGTTATTTATTAAGTACTTTTATAAAATAATTTTTTTTTAGTTATTTGAACTTATTTAATATTATTCATACTCGTTATATATATTATATCGTATATCATATTATCTGCATTGAACGAGTTAATTTATAAAAATATGACACAGTCATTTTTATTTAATTTAAAAAATTAATAAATTTTGTATAACCGTTATTGAATTTTTTTATTAATAATATATATATTTACATAGATTGAAATAATTTTAACTATTTCAGTTATTAAAATCAGACAGTAATTAGTGAGCTTATATTATGTTTATATAATAAACAAGATGATTCGTAATCCATGATTCAAATATGACAGGGATCGGGGATTTTCAGAGTATTTATTTTTAACCAACAATATTTCTTTTATAAAAAAAAAAAAACAAATTTAATAATAATAACTTGTTTATTAGACGTATAATATTGATAATTGAATCATGTTTGTTTTAAATCATTAAACGTATTATAGAGTAAAAAATGTTATGGAGATGAAAATGTCAACGAAAAACTTACAAGCCCGATGATATTTTTTGCCTATGGCATGCTGCTCACAGTTATTGGCATTGCGGGTTTGATTGGAAATGGTTTAGTTCTCATCGTATTTACCAGGTAAAGTATAATTCATTTTTATTATTATTATTATTTTTTTTTAACATTAAAAATTTAACAAGACTTGACATATTTTATTACAAAAAAATATTTATTTATTAATGGTTTAGAAGCACATTTTTTTTAGTATAGTACAAGAATCAAATAAGAAATATCACATTTTTACAGAATAAAAATGAGTATCTCATTTTTTTTCTTTGAAAATAACAAATTATCGATTTTCTAGTAAATAGATACTCCAAAGTAAATGTTTTAAAAATTCCATCAAATAAAACTTTTATTATATAATTGAACACAAATGACACTTAAAAGAAAACATACAATTTTCTAACAAATCCCAATCAATTGCCGTATAACCAAAACATTTTTGGTATACTTACCCATTTTTAACAAAAATTATTGATAAAGTTGTGTAGGAATAACTTTAAATTTTCCAATGATTTAAATTATGCACACGTATATGTAATACACTAACGTAACTAAAGATCAGAGATACATGAATACAATATAAAACAATAAATAGTATAATCCACATACAATCGTGTGTAATATCTTTATAAACTACAATTATGTAAAGAAATTGGATAAAATTTAAAAAGTATATACATATATACTTAATTATTATTAAAGTTTTTTTGGTATTAAATCTAATTTTTCTGTAAATTATTAAAATTTTTAAAAATCATTTGTTCTGAAATTTTAAAATTGTTAGTATCTATTTCTTTATAATTAGTGGTAAAACAGTCGTTCAAATTAATAATTCTCAATAAAAATTTAAAAATACCTATTTTTTGATTATAAAATAATTTATATCGTAATACGTATTGAATAAATATATTTAGTTAACGAATATCTATTATCTAAAACAAAACTTTCACTATTTAATGGTAACAATGCTTTATTTATTATATATTTTCATATTTATTTATGTTTTATACACTCATACACTCATATGTGAAAAACTACATTATATTAAAGCAAATGAGTTAAACATTAATTAATTATCAAGTCATTAAGTTTGAAATTCGCTAAGACGCATTTGAAATTACATAAAAAGGAGGAAATAAACAACTTAGGTGGTACTTTTTATACGGACATAATATAAAAAAATATTATATTTTTTTTAATTTTAATTTATTATTATTTTTTTTTCTTTATGAATAAAAATATTACGAAACAGGAATTAACATCAATTATATGATTTTAATTTTATAATTTATTAAAACGGTTTTACAACGAACCCAGAAGATTTAAATAAAAAAATAATAGTACGATAACATCCAGAGAGCAATAATTTAGAAGATGTTAAATATCAGGAAAGCGATAACCAAAATAGTGCATATGAAGGAAGAAAATATTCTTAAAAGATAATACTGACGAATAATAATGAAAAAAAAATATATTCAAAATTACAAATGTTTTCCTCCAAGTGAAAGTTTATAAAATTTATTATTTATTTTTTATATAAACGACGCCATAGCTAACTTGAGTACAGTAATAACTCATGACTAATAAGATACTTATGATAACTATAAAAAATATACAATAACATATTTTTTTAAATAAAAACTATGTTACAAAATTAAATTAAAGACGAATCACTAAACATACAAAGAATTTCAACATAGGCGGTGAATTATTAACTGATAATACATAAATGCTTATTGTCAATGGAAAAGTCTAATCTAGACGTATATTCCAATTTCAAAATCCTATCTAATGGTTTATTTTAACTATAATTAATATGATAATAAAATAATATAATAATACTAAGTATGTTTAGGAATATAATTAATGCATATTACACGTAGAAGGAAATACGTAGGGAACAAGTAATTATAACATTTAATAAGTTTTATGGGAAAGAAGTGTATGTATTCGATTTACAAGAAAATAAAGCGTAAGATTGAGATAATATTGAATTAAAAATTACATGATAAAATTTACAATTAAAAATATTGATATTAATATTAATTTTTATTTTAATCCAAATACCTCTTATTATCATTAAAATATAATTTTTACTACCTATACGTTTTAACTCATAAAATTAAATTGATAATTTTATTATTCAAATACTTTCTTTATTTGTATGCATTGATTGATTGTTATCACTGTTAAATTATAATTGAAATATAGTAAATAACAGTTTTTGTTGTTTTTTTTACTTTGTTGAATTTGTTTTCCTATATATAGTTTGATACCTTTATTATATAAATACATTTTTTTTATGATGTACCACATATAAATGAATGTTATTGCAGGTATGCATTTTATGAAATCATACTACATTAGAAAATTTCCAACTACAATACGATTGTATGTACATATAGAGTTAATAGTTAAAACTATTAGACTAAAAGATAAAAATGAAAATTACAGTGTACGAGTATATAATATTATATTATACATGGTTTTATGGCATGTATTAACATAAAGTAATAAAGTAAAATATAATGAGAATTATAACTGTTTTTCAAAGTTAATACTTATATGCACATATAAATACATTGTGGTTAAATATATTTATATACATAATATATCCAACCAAAAATCAACCAATTATCACAGGACTATTTTACCAAGATTCAATTATAAGACCTTACAAATGTATTCAAGTATGCCGGCAAATTATAATATGTAAACACAATTAATTCTGAATAACGTCAATACAACGGTTGCAGAAGCATGTGAATGAATGTAAATAATTCTCTATCTTTACAAGGAACCTGTGAATAATATAGGTGACATGATGTGCTCGCAATCGTGCAAAAAAAAACGGGCGAACGGAAATTATACGGTTCCCAAATATAAAATTATAAAACCATACTAATTATATATTAGCATAGCAATTAATTAATTTATTAGTTTTTATTATTATTAAAAAACAAATAAATAACTTCAGGTATAGTGGTAATAGGAAATTACTTTTTTTTAAATGAAATAAAACTAAAGTTTAAATTACAACAATAATTATCACTTATTAAACGTTTTATTAATTTATTTAATCTTTGCACCAGTAGACAAAAAATATTAAAATAAATTTAAAATTATTTATTTTATAAATAGTAATAACTAATAATTATAGGTACAATACTCGTCTCACTAAAATATAACCGCACTGCAAAATCTTATTAAAATATTATAATTTATTTATTTATACGCACTCACGGACAACAAAACGAAAACGGTTTGATCAATAATCGTTGAATAGCAGACAGTGCTACAAATGTAGATAAAATGATTAGCAGCCACTGTAGTTTCGCTTACAAGTATAAATCATATCGTTATACAAAAGTGTAAGCCACAGTCACCAAATTTAAGGCAAGTCGACTGGCAGTCTTTATACTATGGTCTTAGTGAGCAGTAACTGCAGTATTTTTATTTGTCGGGCAGTCTTAATGGAAAACAGCGATCACTAACTGCTATTACAGTCCGAAGTTAAACTTAGTGATTTTCGATCGAACCATTTTGGAATTTTTATTCGAAAATGTGTAATGCGACAACATTCCAGGGCAAAAAGACATAATTGACCACTTTTCATCACTTTCGATCGAACGAAACACATTGCCCATTTTCTGAGAATATAGTATACTCTGAACTCAGAGCAATATATTAAGGTTAAATTTTCATCAAACGCTTATGTATCTAGTACCTTCACTTTATAATTTCCAAATTTATCGTACGAAAATTTCATTATTTAAAACTGATTGTAGCTAAACCTAACGCTAGCATCTGAAAATATGAAAATCATGTGAAATATTAAAATAGAAGTACATGTAGGTACTTATTTGTGATTATAATTGAAAACGTAGAATCATTATAAGTTTTGTTATAATGCTTTTTTAATTATTCTTTTAATTTTACAATGATTCATATTTGATGCAAATTTAAAACAAGATTTATTAAAAACATTAAAATTAAGTATATACATACCTACTCAGCTATTTACTGAGCATGCCCATCCTTTTTTTTCTTAATAGCGCAACTATTCAAAACCAGATTTTTAGAATTTATAAATATACTTAAAAAAATATATATATAACTCTTGAGATGTATTATAGAATTTATATGGAGTGTCTTGTGAAGATATGAATTTCTATTTTTCAAATGAAAACTTCTTTTTTCTACCGTAAATTATTTGGATTATAATTTTTCTAAAAACTTTAACGAAGTAAAATAAAAATTTGAATGAGTAGTTTTCTAAGTCATTTAACTTTGTGTATTATGAATAATAAGTCCATAAAAATGGGTTTAGGATACATAGGATCTATAGTGATTAATAATAATCTATCGATATTTATAATTTATGAAAATGGTCTGAGTGTAATAAATACAACATCCATCATTATAAATATTTTATATTTTGAAGAATTATTTTCCTTATACAAAAATGTATAAAATATAAAAATGTTAATAACTGAAAAATAACTCGTTAAAATTTTTAATTAGATCCAACAAAATTTTCAAAAAAAAATGTTCACTGAATAATTTATAATGAAAAAATAACACTTTAAAAGAGTCATAAAAAATCTAAGAATTTGAAATACAGTCTTAACCCTTTCAGTCCCCGATGCCATTAGAATAGCACAATGATATAAAAATCGTTATAAAATTGAATTTAAAATATTCCGTTGTGTAATACACGAATTTATACGTAAAAACACGTGTAGAACACATTAAAAATGATAACAATACAATTCGGAGCTTATACAAAATGATAATGACAATTTATTGATAACAAAAATGTTTACTGAAATATTTATTTTATTATTTCACATTTGATTTTATTATAAAATGTCAAAGACGTTCTAAAAATCCCATATTTTTTTTCATGTGTATACACTGATACTGTAAACATATTATAAAGTAATATAGTTATTAATATTAATCGTTATCGTTTTATCGTACCTTAAATGTTATGCCATTAGAATGGCAATTGGGCGTAATGTTGTAATTCTATCAACTAATATTTACGTTTTACATCACTGATAAACAGTTGTTATTCGTCTCATTTTCCGTACGTCGGACGTTAGTCTACGGTCGTTACTGCGTAGTTTGAATTTCATTTTGTTTAACGTAAGTATTTTATAGATTCAAATTTACTACATACATATAAATAATTTTAATATTGTGTTTATGTAATATGAAATAATTTAGGTATTTATTTATAATGTCACGAAAACAACTCCGTGATTTTGATATTTTGGAATTGCTTGGTAACGGCCGAGACTCAGATTTATCATCTCTATCTGGTGATGATTATGAAGAAGAAGAAAATAGTTTTCCTACATCTGAATTAGACCAACTTTTAAATGATTTTACTAATTTCAAAGATGGTGATGATGGTAATGAATTGTTTCCTGATTTGTTTGATGTTGATATTCCTACTGATAATGGTATGTTCAATTATAAATATTTTATATTTTTATCATTTTTATTTTTAAACTACTCATGTTTAGATGAAATAAGTGAAGTCAATTCTATATTCCAGTCATCTCAAAATACTGATTTTTTTCAGTCCATTTCAAATACCTACTATATCACCTATGGTGAATTTACCATTTGTTGACAAAAAAGATATGAAACCAATGGTTTGTAGTGAATTTGACATCCAACAACCAGTACCTGAATTATCTATTTTAAAAACATTAAATCCATTGGATTATTTTATGAATTATTTTCCTGAAGAAGAATTTGAAAAAATGGCTAAATATACTAATATTTATGCTGAACAAAAAAATAAATTAGTTATGTTATTAAAATATTATGTAACTTACAAGACTTATTCAAAAAATTTCTTTTTATGTATGTGATATGATAAATAAAGTTGTTTTTATATTTGTTACAATATTATTATTATTTTTTTTTTTTTGTTACAATTAGTTATAATATTAAAATATTATGTATGTTTAAAAAGTTTTTCAAAAAATCTCATAGTATGTATGTGATAAATAAAATTTTTATTTTACTTTCTATATTGTCTATTTTATTTTATTAACAATTAAGACTAAAAATTAATTTAAAAAAATGCATAACTAAAAAAAAGAATTGAACAGACTTTATTTATAATGTTTAGCATTTCATTACTTAACGCCCAATTGCCATTCTGATAGCATAACAAATTATTACCGTTAACGCCCAATTGCAATTATAATAGCATAATTCAATAACTCATGACTTGGTGATCAAAAAATTTTGAAATAAAAAATAATTCTTAGTTAGGCATAATATATAAGTAATTAGAAGTCAAATATTTTTTTTTTTTATCAGAACTTAATTTGGGATTGAAAGGGTTAAAGTATACTTGAAAATTTCAATAAATCATAATTAAAATTAATTATCAAAAAACAAATGAGGATGAACACACTTGATTAATCACTCTATACACGGAATAAAATTATTTATTTTTTTAAATTACAATTTAAGAAATATAATAATTGTATAAATGTATAATTTAAATTATAAATTACCAAACTCGGATTATTTAGTTGAACAATAATATCAAAAACAATTTAACGTTATTATTCAATTTTTATTAAACCGTATTTTTTTTATTTTTTTTAATTCTAGTTTTTTTTTCTTTTATATATTATAGATGTGATTTTATATGCAACTTGGAATTATTTTACTTAAAAATCGTTTATTAATAGAACATCTATCTAATATTTTTAATTTACCTAAACCTTGTATAGATCTTAAAATTTTACAATGGATAAAATCAATTTTAAGACAAAAGTTGTATTATAAGGTATTGTTTCACTTCAGAAATATTAAAAATATTTCTCATGAACCACGAGTTAATATATTTAAAACATTTTATTTAAAAATAAATTCTTTCCGATTCAGTTAAACATTTATGTAAATTATACAAAAGTTTTATCGCAATTAATTTATAAAAAAAAAAATTCAAGCAACAATTATTTAATTTTTTTCTTATACATTACAGTTATCATAACAAACTTAATTTATATTTTTAGATTTAGAAGATTAAAAGGTCCATTTTCGACGTTTGTATTAAACCTAGCTACTGCCGACTTTGCTACTTCGATCTTGCATTTTATGCCAGCAGTGTCCTCATTCAAACAAGAATGGATTTTTGATGACTTAGGTAAGTAACAATAATAATATGAATATTATCAAATTTAAAATAACTATGTGTACCTCAGTGGATTCATTCGGCCGGTTAAGGACTTACTCCCGTCTAATATAGCCTGAAATTACACCACTAGCATATTTCTATAACATGCTTTACTTGGCGTAACAAGTACTAACAACGCGCTGATAATTACTACTGATAGTTAAGAAAAATTAGAATTAAGTCTAAAAACTTAACACGTTCAATATGAATGTATATTAAAATACTATAGAGCTACTTGTACCTAAATAATTTTTTGTATACCAACCAACATTTTATCGCATTTGGTTAGGAACTGTAATTTGTATAATAGTCGTCTATTTATATTAATTTAGCAAAAACCATTATAAATACGTTGATGATGTAAAAATGTATACGTGTGTACAATAGAAAATACAGAAAAATTTTCTCATCGTAATCGTGTGATGAACATACAAAATACCATAGCATAATTGGTATTTTATAATAAATATAAAATATAAAAGTGTAATAAAGATTTACAAAAACATTAATCAACAAATATTATAACTTTAGTAGTCTTATACTGAAGTTATATTTTCTTTATATGAACTATTATTTCATAGTTATTAAGTTTATAATATATAACTTGAAAAGCCAATGCATAATAAATAAAATATTGTCATGCTTTTATCTTACTTTAATTTAAATAGCTAAATATTTTAGCTTTGAATATTTTTATGGCAATTTTTCGAAAGTATAAATCATCAACCCGATCAAGTAGTTATAAAACAAATGTATTACATGTATAAACTCATAATTTATAAGGGTTTAATATTATTTGATAATATATCATTAGTTGACGTTTTGGTGTTTACGAGGGTAATTCAAACTGTAGAACAAACATTTGAAACAAACAATTGGTTACTTTATATACTAGTACATCTTCTATAGGTTAAAACTATTATTACACCTTTTAATGTGATTGTTTTATTTTTAGATAAAATTATGTTAAAATGACTTATGAAAACTTAAAAATAAAAATAATATAATTAAAATTTCAAAAACTTAAAAATTAACAAATTTGTATTTATATTTACTTAAAAACATTATTCAAAGACGGTCATGAAATGTTTATTTCGTTAAAGAATTATTAATACGTGTATAACATTTTTCATCTGATGTTAAGTCTTGTATTATATTATATTATCAATTTATTTTTTTAATAAAAAATTTTCTTTGAATCTTTTTTAGGAACTAGATATATTATAATATATGATGTATTTATTTTCTATAAAATTCTAAATACGCAATTAAAATATTATAATATTATACTGTGTCAAAATCGTACTATCCAAGTATCATTAACTATATTTTATGTTGGTAGGTATATACTATTATATTTATTATTATCGCTTCTCGATTCGGTAATATATTAAAATACCAGAAACCTATGGTGAAAATAAAAAAAATTTGTTTTACACAATAAACAATACAACCTGCACATTTCGTGAATATAACAATTAATGACAATACACTTGTGTCATTTTTATTTAAACCCGCATGAAGAGGTGACCATAGAGCCTGAAAACAAGTATTCAAGTAAATAACAACTACGAATATATCAAACATTACTGTAAACTGTAAATGTATCTAACACTGTCATCCATAATAGAAATATTTTTATTTTAACAATACCAATAAGGCATTAAAAAGAAGTTGCACGGAAAACTTTAAAAACTAAAAGATAACTTAAGGATCAATATCGAAATCATAAAGAATCCGCGCAATGTCACAATAGTTGTACATATAATTATTATGATTTAAAGCAAAGCTAATGAAATTCCATAATATAATATTTATTACTTTTTGTTTTTTTAATTTTTTTTATCGGAATATGTTTTCTTAATAGTAAATAAGTATAAAATGGTACTATAACAGCTAACTTTATTGATTAAAAATGAAATAAAAATGAAATAAAAATTAATAATATTAATTATTTATTTAAAAATCACAAATCATTATTAATTTTAACGATCAGACGTCTTAAGTAAAAAAATCTAAATCTTTTTTTGAAAGAGAAAAGTAAATTTAGACTCTGAACTGTACGAATTACCTTTAGTCAAAATGCTTCAATCTTTGATTTTAAGAGTTGCTTCTTGTATTGTAGGTACTAAATAATTATAGCTTTAAAGTTACAGCAGTATTCCAAACTTTATTTTATTTTATTTTTTTTTATCCAGCAGAAGTTTATAGTATAAATGCATTCCATTAAAAATATATATGATGTAAGAACAAAAAAAATATAATCCAAGATAGTTTTACAAAATTGGGAATTTTAAACTTCTAGGTTAATATTATATTTTGAATTGGTAAAATATATTAATGTCATTAAACAAACATTTATTTTTATAGTACTTATAATAGTGTCTGAATGACGTATAAGAAATTTGATTTAAACTTGAAAATAATTTCAAACATTTTTCACCAACTAACAAATTAATATTGTCATTAATACCTAATTGATTTATATGAGCTTACTTTCTCTAGAAAATTAGTTAATTAGTTACTTTTTCTTAAACTTACTTTACCAAATTTTAAAATATAATGGATTCTATTGTTGGGTTTTATTTAATATATAAATTCTCAGATGCTTAAATTCAGATTGCGTTTGTACTCGTATGTCGATCGTAAATTTATAGATGTGGCACTTGCTGAATTTAATATATTATAAAAACCATATAGAATTTATTCATGATGCGAAAATTTCCACGTCGTTTCTATTAGGTTATGAAAAATATTTAAAATAAATTACTCTGAGATGATTTTAGAGCAAAAATACAGATGTTATAAAAACAATAAATTCACCATTTTCTTGTCTATCCCATTTTTTATTATAAAATATAGACTTAGCGTAAATGCAGAGAAATATATTTAACACGAATAATACAATAATTAAGACCAATTAAAAATTTGTTATTTAAATTAGATTATAATTTTCTGAAGTATCTATTTAAAAAAATTTCAAATCCATAATTGACTATATCCTCAAGAATCTCGAAACTACTTCGATTCTTTATAATGACGTATTTTCATTCGAAACACGTCTGATTTTTTATCAATTTAATGGTTTGAATATCAATTTTAATTTTCTACTACATTGATTCAACGATTTTTTCTATGTTTTAAGCACATTATTTTATTAAAGTTATCTATAGTAATATCTATTAGTGTTATATTATAATATAATTAATTAAAATTATTTTATCTATTGCAACTTCTTTATTTTAAATAACAACTTGTAACTTAATAAATATTTCAAATTAAAATAGACGATTATAGTGGAAGCTATTCCACTGATTGAGTTATAATAATAATGTTAGTTGATTTAAATAATAATTATTTAAAACTTACATTGAACAATAATAATTGTATACTGTCAATATTTGTGATTTGTATTAGAACTCTATTTCATGAAAATAAAAATAAAACTCTAATGTATACAGGGTGGAAAATAATTTTGATTTCCCAAATTATACTTAAATTTACTATACCTTATTTAAGGAGTATAATATTTAAAAAAAATCTTGACATTTTTTAGTACAACTAAACATGTTTAATTTGATGATAAATAAAAATGCCTACTATAAATTTGATAAGTATAGTTATTATAAGAATTTATATGTGTCATATTTTTGCACTTTAGTAGTTCTGATAATACCTTGAGTACCAAATTTAAAAAAATTGTTTGAGAAATAGTTTTAAGGTAAAATTTTCTGTAAGCCTGTGTTATTTATATAGATCGAAAGTAATTATTTGTTATCATAGAGTATAAATATATCTATAATTTTATACTTATTTAGGTTGATCATATAACATGTAAAGTAAGCATAAAAAGTGTTTCATGATATTAAGCAGGGGTAACCTGCGGTATACGTACTTTTCGCAATGCACTTGATATTATTTAATGGTGCACTAGTGTCAGATATAATATCATGTATAATTTATTATTACGAAATAAGCACATAAATGTTAATTTTTATGGCACAATCTTAATTTTCTTTTATTATTTGGCACAATATAAAAAAGTATTGGCTACCTTGATACAGAAATTAAAAATACCACATAATTTTGTTTGTATAGACTTTTTAATATCTTAAGGACTTATTTTACAATTTTAACTGCAAAAATCATCTTTTAGTTCAAATTTAGACGTTTTCTAGATAATTTTGAAAAAATAAAGAATAATTATTGCCAAAATCAAAAAGATTGTAAATTAGAAATTTTCTCTCATACTTTTCAACTAACATCGAAATAAATTGAAATAAGTAAATATACACAGATTTTCTATTTCCCCGGATATGCCCCGCAATTAAGATGTTTTTAATAGTATTTAGCTACCTTTACATAATATACTCTTCTAAGATAAGAAAATATTGATTCAGATCTAAAATCATTAGCATTAGTTATTTTTAAAAATACAGCTTATAAAAATATTCTTTTTATATATATTATTTTCGAGTTTTTTTGTGCATATTTAAGTACCTTCAATGAATACTTTGAAAAAATAAAAATTTTTAAATTGGAATATTATATTTACATTATAAATCATTTTACATAAATTGTACTTAAGTTATTTGTACCGTAATAATCGATTTAAATTCTGTTATAACTTATAGTATCTACTTTAAGTTTATAATAGAACTCTAAATGTTGATCACAATAATCAGATCTATTTAAGCACTAAACTATTTTTTAATGAAAATTAAAAAAAAATTTCAATTTTTTAGTTAAAACTAAATTAGTATTGATGATAATGTATATGATTAAGTATCTTAGTGTACCTACAAGTAAACAATTACTAGCTGTAAATTATTCAATTACATGTCTAGACATATACGTATGATTCATAACTGAGTAATATTAGTGCAACTTGTTTATTATAGTGTACTTACTTACGTCTTACATTCATATTAATATAATTTAAAACTCCTATTTTACGTAATTCATTTTAATTGATTGTGTTATTGAACTTGTAATTTAATATGTACGGACTACAAACCAAATAACTCAACGACAGACAATATACGACACGTATATTTATTTTATGTTGGGTAATTTAAAAATATTAAACCAAATTTCAAATTTCAATTGTGATACTATTTTTACCAGTGTATAAATTATACCACTCCTCAAAACGTACAAAGCATACATTTGATATAACAATAATATTAGGTTTGTATATCAATTATAATAATTGATTATGCACCATATTTATGGTAAAACAAATCATGAGAAACGTATAAAATCTCTGTCTATATTATTATAAATTATGATAGTATCAAATAACTCCCATTCAAAAAATATGTATAATGCATTTTATATTGTTTATTCTAGACGAAGAACACCTATTACAAAAATATATCGAGGAATACATTTTTATGTCTGATTATTTGATTGTTTATATTATTTTAAGCTTAATGAATTATGAATATAATGATAATAGATCATTTATAATTTGTAAATCATTTAATAGGAACGGTCTAACATTAAAAATAACATCCTATTTTTGTAATAGGTATTCTTCATCTAAAAGCATTTGAAAAAAAATGAATTTATCTCAACATTACCATTGTAAGTTTTGTGATATTTATTATTCGCTGCAAGACAAAAAAGGGCGGGTAGCGAAAAGTAGATATAAGATTTAATAATATAATACATTCATATTATGTAACACTATCTGAAATCGAAAATAAATTATTTACCATGCTCGTTGTTTTCCAGGATGCACAATTTATGCTTTCGGAGTGGGACAATTTGGTTTGGTTTCAATTGTCACTCTTTCAACCATAGCAATTGAAAGATATCTAGTGATCACTGCGAAACCAGTATCAGGATCTTGGAAGTTAACGCGACAGGGTGCAACGAAAGTGAGTGACACACTACACGATACACACTATACCGTGGATACATTAATATATTGAAGTTGTTACCATGTTTTTATTTCAGACAATTTGTATTTATTGAATAATATAGTGCATGTATTAAATAACTGTGAGGCACACAAACGATTAGTACATTTTTTAGCACATAATTAACCTAATATTAAAAAAATTATATAATTTAGTAACTGTACACATTGTACAAGACGGTTACTAATGCACTTATGTTCATTCTGGCGTGAGTGCGAATCAAATATGCAATCAGTAAACTAAGACTATTATTTTTTAAAGCTTCTGCCCATCTCACAGTATGCTGCCCACCACCGTTATTTGTACAACTTTACAATAGGCATATAATACATATGATTATTATAGAATACTTTATTCATATTTATGACGAATAACTTCAACTAATTAGGTATAGTAAAATATAATCAATGTTTTAAAACGCTTGTATTGTAATTTTATAGTAGGAATATTTTTAACTGATAATAGTTATATTATTATTTATTTTTTATCTCTAAAATTATAACATTTTATTTTTATTTTATATTATAATTTTGGTAGACCAAATTTTTAAACCATGAATTAATAGCGAGTTTTTTTATATTTCCTAAAACCAAATCATGTCTCGTAAATACCAGTAAATAAACTCTTATTATGTATTATTTAAAGTCTAGTGGTTATTATATAAATATATTGAATATAGGTAGGTTCCTATTGATTCATTATAATGCATTTATAATACTTTTATAATATATAAGCCCAGTATAATATATATAATTATTTGGACTGTTTATTAGGACTGTACTTATAAGACTCAAATAACTTTTAGAAGATCGTAAAAGTTAAATTTTAGTATTCTAATAAAATACTATATTCACATTAAAAGAAAATTAAATTTTTCGAAAATAATCAACTAATTTACAAATTTTAAGATTTGATTAGAATTTCTGTGCAAAGTGTGCACACGTTAACACATTTTAAAATTGTTACCTAATTGTAATAATTTAATTTAATAATGAAAAAAAATAATAATGTGCAAAAATAAAATGAATAAAAAAATCTTCATTTATTTTTATAATTAATTCCCCCCCCTCCACCATAGAAAAATATCTAGGAGCGCCCATGACTGTAGTCCAAGTTGAACAACCCAACTTTCACATTAAAAGGAAAACATTTGCTGTACAATATGTTTTTTAATTTTTTATATATTTACTTATACAAAAAAAGCTTATATCATTTGAAAATTCATTATTATTTTTATTTTTCAAACTGTACTGATATCGAAAAAAATAAAAATAATATAGCACAATTCAAATTTCTCCTCTTTCTAGTGTAAAAATTTGGTTGCTTAACCTAAACTACAGTCTGAGTGGTTCTTACCCGCGTAGGTTAAAACAGGTAATAAAAACAGACTTCAGGCGATAATAACCATTGCTGTTGAAGTCTATAAAAAAAAATAATAATGAATGCATTTATACTTTGTTTTATTTTTAGGTGTGCACATTTGTATGGATATACTGTTTATCAATAACGTTACCACCGATTTTCGGTTGGTCAAAATATGTATTGGAAGGATTCGAAACATCATGCTCATGGGACTATACAACCAGAACCGTTTCAAATCGGTTATTTTACATTTATATGCTATTGCTCGGATTCGTTTTGCCAGTCTCGATCATTGCATATTGCTATATATTCATTATTGTGTCAATACTTGATCACAATAAAGAAATGGCCGATTGTAATAGTAATGTCGCATCTTTGGGCACAGGTTAGTGAAATAGTGATTTTATTTACACGGAACAATAACATAGTATTATTTTAACAAATCAGACAAAATAATATATACATATTATTAGATATTTTTTAGACAATATTACTACTTTACTAATTGATAGTTATAACACAGTAATAATTGTTAGATTAAATAATCAATAAATAGAAAAATTTTTGTTTAAATAAAATTTAAAAAATCTAAATGGATTCTTTATAAAACTTTATAAATACTTCTTTTTACAAGAGAAAAATAAAATATAATTAGATATTGTAAATAAAATATATTTCCCACTATTCTTAGGACTCGTTTTGGTATTCGAATATCTTATAAACGATTAACCGTACGATCACGGTACCAATTATTTTAAATTGTTTAACTATATAGGTATAATTGTATAAATCACACGATAGACTGAGTTATGTCGATTTAGAGAGATAAAATTATTTGCTGATTGTGACAATGAAATAACCTGTGACTAACATTTCTATAACTATTTGAAATCTAATCACATATTATACGTTTAATATTTTATTAAATATAAGTATTATGCAAAAACTTTAAAAATTGTAAATTATAAACGAAAATTACATTTTTTTAAATTTAAATCTAAGACAAATATAATTCAAATCTGGTGTTCAATCATTAATTATCTATACATATAACGTTTGTATAATAATAATTATGCGTATCCCAAAGTAGGCACGATATTTTTTTTAAATTACAATGTAATACTTTACTTATTAAACATTTGTATTTTACAGAAAGTTGGGATTACAGATTAGCATTAAACGTCACCAGACGAGGTCAAGCAGTACCTATTCGATCTGCATTAAGAACATCTTATATAATCTTAATCCTTATTGGATTGTTTATAGCGTCTTGGACTCCATATGCTGTTGTTACGTTTTTTGGTCAATTTGGAGATAGCCAAACAAAGATAGAGCCATGGATTTCTGCTCTTCCAGCCATATGTGCTAAGGTTTGTTATATAATTTTATACTTACTTACTAATACTTCAAAACTCATCTATGACGCTTTATTGATTATTATCGTTACCTATTTATTTATTAGATATTTCAACTGTGTAACAAAACATATTATTTTATAAAATATAACAATATAATTAGTTAATTAAATTCAAAATTCAATAATATTATATTATATACCTATTTATGTTTTTTTTTTTTTTTTTAATTCGTTCAATATTATTTAAAATATTGTGTACGAATGTTTAATATAAAACTAATCGTAATACTTTTTTATATAGGTATATTTAACTACAAATACCTAATATCTAAAACATCTAAAAACTCCATATTTACATTAATTAATAATTATTTAACCGAACTTTGCCAATTATTATCTGATTATCTAAACACGATAATTTATCGAAGTTGAAAAGTTAATATTTGAAATTATAATACAACAATAGCTTGAGGCGTTGTGAGAGAATTTAAATGAGCGATCTCCACCAAACCTCTTATTTTAGTAACTATGTTAAGTTAGATTAATAAATAATACTGGATAATTTAAATATAAGTATCAGAAATACAAAATTTAATTTTATGTTCCTATTATTGAATATTGATATTTATTTTAAAAAAAATCGAATTAATTCTAAATTAATTTTGTTATAAAATATCTTAATATTCATAATAAGTATAACATATAATGTTTAAATTAAATAATTTAAAAGTAATATAAGAGTTCAAATTAATACTAATAAGAAAAATACCAAGTAGTTTAAGACTTACATTATAAATAATAATATATTAATATTGATACAAAATGCGGACAAGGGTACTTATTTATATTTTTTTAAATAAAAGTGTTACAATAAATACCATAACTTTTAACTCTCTTACAGATCAATTTAACGAATAAATGCATTTCATTTTTTTTTTTTTTTTTAATTCTATAACTTTATACTTTTATACATAAAAATACATATATGGCTAAGTTCTTTTTAGTGTTTTAAGTGTTTTGATTTATATTTAACTCAAAGCTATAACATACTTTTAAACTATAGTTTCCAGTATTGTGTTAATGCTCATATTTATCGTTTTGTTTTTACTCAAATTTAAAAATATACAAAAAATAATTATTGATAAATAGATTCATTTAACAATAAAATTAATCTATTTACTAAATTAAAACTAAAATATTAAATGACCTAACGTAATCCGCTACAAGTTCTTTAATTGATTCATTAAGTATTATATTTTAAAATGAACAAACTATTTATTTGTTTATCATTTTTAAATTTCTCTCGTATGAATTATGAATTTATTATGAAGATAATATCAACAATAGATTGAATAATATATTAAATAATTTAATACACAATATGACAATACAAAAACAATAACTTTAATTTTATTAATAATAAATTATGATTAACTTTTAACTAATTATTATAATATAACAGCTAAATTAGCATAGTTTCTAGTTCAAAAAATAATAATTAAATCATACTCTTATTAATTACTATAAATTATTACACTATAATAGGTATAATATTACATTCATTAAGTTATTGTGTGTAATCGTAAATATGTATATTTCAAGCATAACTATCATTTGTATGAATAAAAGTTTAATTTAAATCAATATATTTTTATGCAAGCGTACTACTTGCATAATAAATGAAAACCTACTATGAATTTATACTGCAAATCAATTTAATTATACTGTGATTATTCTATTTGTGAGTTAGTTGAGCTAATATCGAGTTGTTAAAATTTTAGTAATTCAAAAGTAGTGGTATAACTTTTAATAACATTACTCAGTGCTTAAAACCAAAACTCAATTTAACATCATTTATTTCCACGTAGTTAATTTATTCACAAATTGTTTTACGAGTATTTAGTTTCATTATACAATCTAAATAATTTAAAATTTTAAAGGACTGCACTAGTAATATTTTTTACTTTTAGACCCATGTTATGAACCTATATAAAGTTATATTAAACTTAAATTTTAAACCCGTCGAAAACTAGAGACTGTTTGATAATTCATTCATTGCCATAAGGTAGACAATAATATAGGTACCTATAAGATATTTAAGAAAAAATAACACGCTACGTATCGTTTTATTTTAATGTTTCGTATCACTTATTATTTACTTTATTCAATTACCTACCTACCTACTATACGATTTATTGTTGGAATTCAAGTCATTTATTCGCTCAACCCCAGCGAAGATTATGAATTCCTTCGTCTGATTGATATATTATAAAATAACATATAAAGTAAACAATTTTAAACACAATTTATTCCCCTCCCTCCTTAAAAAAATATAAATATTTAAATATACTCATCCGATAATTTAAATGACTACTTATAACACGTAGTAAACACCCAGTTATTCATAATTTATTTTTTGTTTACTATGAATTTCAACAAATAGCCATTTCAAACAACATAACTAAATTCAGATTTAATGTATTAATTACAAGAGTTATGTTGTTTATAAACATATTATACGATACGCGTCAGCTAAACATTTACAATTATTTGTTTTTACTCTGATATTTTAACTTTTATCATCACATTAGCTATCCTGTTTTTAATTACTGGTAAATATTCTCATTTCAACTTAAATATTTAATTTATACATCATTTTTTTTTATTTACCGCATCGTTTTTATTTGCATACTTTCTTAGCGTAGTAGTTGAAAATCTTATAGCTATCAGATATTCCAATTAAGAGACCACATATTAGCAGTATATAGTTTATTATTGAAACCGCGTGTAACATATTTTTTTATTATTTTTACTCGTCATAATGACTATTATTCAAAAACTTTAAAAACTTATAACATTGGGTGAATTTTGTCAGTCTTCACGCTTTCGAATAATTATTACAATTATCTAATGCGTACTATATAATATTATGTCATATATCTGCAGGCGTCTGTAGTGTATAATCCCATAGTATACGGCCTCTCTCATCCGCATTTCCGTTCATCGATCCGGAACTACATATCGGGCTGTACGACGGTAGGCCACAGCCACACGGAACTCTGCACCCCGGGACGCAACCATCGGTTAGTAACGAACAAAAGTCTGAACCGATTTGCTTTGCTCACTGGACAGGATAAGAATCGTACAAATGTCGTCGAGTTAAAGTGTGTACGTCATCGGAGAGTGCCACCTGACTCGAATTCGATTTGCGTGGACTACTACAGTGAACCCGACTGCCGGCAAGTAAAACAAAAACCGAACATCATAGCACAATTATTTTTACTTTCAAAGTCTATTGTGTTTAAAGTTTTATTGTAATAATATGTTTTCAAACTGTAGGAGCCTAACGCTGACGATGGAACCAAACCGGGGTTCAGCGATCATCAAAATTGACAAGGTACCATTTAAAGTCGTCATGTCCACTATCAGAAGTAAAAGCGTCAACGGAAAAATAAACACAAGTAAGTGAATTTCCGTCAACGTTATTTATGGTTTTTTTTACCTACTGATTGATATTTACAAATAATTCTTACTACTATATCTAATTCATATTATTAAGCCTGTGGTCAGACCATATTGCAACGATTTTATTGTTTATTTTTATTTTTAAAATCTTATTGTCTCAGTTATTGACTGTGCTACAACCACTACGGCGCTACCAGTGCACTTTGTGCGGGATACTTATTATTCAGCCATAACCGTGTTCCATTTGTACCATGTTAAACATTATCTTTATATTCACAAAATAAAATAACAATATTTGTTTATTCTAAACGATTTCATAGTGAAATAGCCCAGTGGTGGCGTTAGGATCTTATACCTAATAAGGCCAACTCAAGGCACGTGATTTTACTGTAGGCTATTTTATGTTATAATACTTATGATAAAGTGTGAAATTTTTACTCCACATTTCCTGCCAAAATTATACCAAAAGAAGAGATCTATGATGTCTAAGTCCCAACAGTACTTTTATCAAAGTAATGAATAATACATTATTTCATTCATAAGAATGGTTTAAAAAAAAAATTATCATCACTTAGGCACCCCTCCATTAAATAAAATCAAGCTACATAATGCTTTCTATTTCATAAAACCCAATTAATCCGCAATAGCATTAATACCTACTATTATCAAACCATTATACACATATTCATATATTTTGTATGAATCGAAATATTATATCATGATAATTATATTTAACTTAATAATATTTTTTCTAATATTTATACTATAAATTATCTACATAATAAAATAAAATAATATTGGAATAATTATTAAAAATTATGTTTTATATTGTTTATTATAAGTTATAAATTTGAACATGTTCACTTGAATGAAATAACCAACATTATACATTGAAATATGTATTTAATTTATTTAAATATTATTCCTATTAATATGTTTATAACAAATAGCAGTAACAATGACATCACATACTATTTACTACATCATTGAAGATATTACTTATCGTGTTTCTATATTTCCTGTGAAAATGTATATTTTCTCCTCGTACACATACTAATAAAAAACAATGAAGAATATTTAAACTAGACTTTGATGTAAATTTAAAAATTTTCAATTTTCATAAAATTTCAGGGTGAGCCAGTGGACGGGCCAAGGATTTTCAATGAGGGAAATGGCCCGCCCTTGGCGCCACCACTGTAATCGCTTAAGGTAAAGGTTTAATAATAACTATTATTAACCACTTAATCACACAATTAAGCATTTAAATATTTTGAACCATCTGGTATATTAAATGATAACACGTTACCACACGGTTTACACGGAACACGGTAAAATTGCTGAATTAGTACTTAGATACCTGTATGTTACCAACCTCCATATATATATTTGTTGATTCATTATACACCGTACACGGTATAGCTATAAACATTGTGTTTTTATCCAATAAACGCATGTAAATAGAAAAAATCCAATTATACAAGTAAACATAATAATTGTGCAGCATCGAGTGGTGGCATCGAGTTTAACTATATTATACTGAAACAAAAACAGTAGAATTGTTCATACTATAACATTGCAATTAATGCACGCATATAATTAGCCAAACTCACGCCTTAATGATCAATTATTTTCCAGTCAACTGTTTTGTAAGGGTATGGTGGTATAAAATAAATGATCGACGAAATATTCTGATTCGTCGTTATTATCGTTGGTGACGATTTTCATAAAACTATAAAATAACGTAGATACGTTAACCAACGTATTAGACGTACGTCGATAGTGCAATTCGAGTGTGATATACTGCCGCAAGCAGAGTATCAACAGAAATAAAAAACTCCTCCTCGTTCAAGGATAGGTAAACTTGTGTATACCTACTTTTATGTGAAATGCGGTTTCTTATACATTTTTATTCATTATTACAATTCCGAGACTTCAAAACATAATAAATAAAGCATACGTTTAAAATGCTCAGAGCACACGTATACACAAATGCATGCATATAATTTACGTTCATACGTCATAATAGATAATAAAATTGCTCCAATATATATTATGTAATAATGTTCATGGTTGAAACGTATTTTATTGTATATCCAAGATCACATTAATACAGGAACGCCGTTTATTGATTATAATGATTATATTATATATAGTTATAGTAAATGGAAATCAATGCATCATAATATTCGGTATATTATCACTGCAACATTATCATTATTGCGACATGACTTGGGTATATAAGGTGTATTGTAGCTATAGTACCCATAACTAATTAACCGAAATTCGATACGTACGTTTCGCCGTTATCGTACAAGGTCGAACGAGCTGATAATTTTACTTTATTTTTTCTGGTAATTTCGCTGTCCGGTACACGAATGCGCATTGTTTTGACGTTCAGTCCAGAGGGATAAAACATGATTGCGTACGTTCTTTATCGGCGATACCTTTTTAAGGCTTAAAATTTAAGCTATACGATCGCGTACGATTTTACCTGATTTTTGATTACACGATTGAGTATAAAATATTAAGCGTTATTAATAATGTTATTGAAAATTATTTATTAACGATTTTATTTATTTATTTATTATTTAATATTTTACTATTATTTAGTTATTCTTATTAGGTATATTTCATTATTTTATATTGATTGTAATAGAAATGTACATTTTTTACTATTTATTAACCCATCTACAAACATACGCAATCGTGTTGCCAAAAAGGACAAACGTAAGCAATCATGTTTTACCCGTCTAGAGAAATGAAATAAGCGAAGCACTATAATTTTATTATAACAATTACCTATATATTCTCATTATGTTAATTGTTTGACATATTATAACGTGTTATTTAATTTGAAAAAAATGTTGATGAATTAATAACTTTTAATTACTTTACATAAGGTGAAGAATAAAACTCCACACTAATCAATTTTTTGAGAATTCACCTCCACCCTCTCTTAAAGTGGACCTGAGTATGCCTCTGATTCTGTGTATTTAATTTGTATTAAATTAAATTAAATTAAATATCTCGTAAATCACAATTGTTTCGTAATAGCAGGTAATGTGATTAATTTGGAAAACGTATTATATTGGTTAAATGGTATGAATGTTAATAGCGTGAATTTACTAAAGAATATAGGACGAAGTAATAAATATAATATAAATCCAAAGTTCTATCAAGTCATTTGTAAATGTTTCGTGATATTAAGACTTTCGAGTTACAATCCATGTACCTACGAGTCATTTGCAATACAATTTTAATATACCATTCTATGACACCCACATAGAGAGTAAAGGGAAACAACTCCCCTTAGTTTTTGTTTATTATAATATATCATATTAAATAAATAACTTAATAAACATTTTTAAAATAATGAACCGTAAACTATCATAATATATATAATATAATGTATAGTATGAGTTGTTATCGAACATAATAAAAAATAAAAATATTTTGAAGAATACACTTATTTTTGAAAACTAATGAAAATTGTTTTTTTGTTTGTGGTTTCGTAGTTTTTTCTCATAATAACAAATTTAAACCAATTTTGTCCGGGTTGAACCGCTAATTTATTGCATTTATGGAATTTTTTTAATCTTTTAAACATCGTACCACTCATACATCGTAATTTGTAGGTAATAATAATACAATAAAAAATTTAAAAACATAATTTCATTTTTTATGAAGTCATGATCGATCATCTAATGTTATTATTTTCTTAATTCCATACATTTTTAATTTTATTTTAAAATTTTACATTTTAAAACTAAACTAACGGGAAAATGAGAATTAACATTTTAAAAAGTGGAATGGTTTATCTCAATTTAACATCATAATTAATTCTGGTGCATGTAAACTCCATCATAAGTACATTTTTTTAGTGTAAACTCCGCCAGAAAAAAAATTAATTAAAATTGAGTTTATGTAAACTCCGCCAAAAAATAAAATCAGATAACATTATAAAATGAATTCGAAGAAATTGTTAGGAATGAAGTAATGGAGTATCACTTGTTGTTTTTATTTTATTTTACAATTTCATTTATTTTTCTATCTAACGAAATAATTTACATACATAATATATGGGTCAGTGGGGTCGACTCGTCGGACGAGATCTCAACAAGCAGTACGGCAATCAGCAAACTCGGTACGTGATCGATTAGATGACCTATTTAAAAAAAACAGGAATTTTTATTTTTATACTTTCGTAGAAATGAGGTACATTTGATGCAATAAGCCCGCTTTAACAAATGATTCTCGTTCGGGAAGCGTGATCTCAGCAGGCGCGTTTAAGGAGAGTTAGGTTGCCCTGAAAAGGGCAATTTTATACAACCAATCTATGCTGGAGGATTTCTCGGACAAAAAGTAACAAGTTCCTGTTGGCTTCGGCAGACAAATGTGTCGAACATTTATTGCTTTAATGTACCTTATTGCTGTCGACGTTGGTTGAATTGGCAACCCGCACTATTTGACCATAGAAGATATAGGTGACAAAAGTAACATGGGTCAATTGTAACATGGCGAATATTTTCTTCTATGATAAACAATAATAAATTATCGGTTTTAATTTTTATGCACGTGCGTCATTTGTCCCCCGAGAAGAAAATACTATACCTTCACATTATATCCACGATGAGTAGTATGTTTTCGATTTTTCAAAGGATCTGAACTACGAATTTTTACAATGAACACATAACACTAAATAACATCACACCGACACCCAGATGTCCCAGAACCTCCTGGCCTTAGGGCTCTTTTGACCTGCGCGCTACCCGTGCTAAACAAAGAATAACCAAAAAACCGCACAAAGAAACAAAAAAAAATAATAATAATAACAAAACCTATAAAAACATCTAATAAAAACAGCGTAGATCCTTCCTACCTAAATAAAAAAGAATCTCAAAGAAGTAAAAGAGTTGTTCACCTGAACATTGAAGGCTTAACAAGAGCCAAATCCCAAATCCTAAGCAAAGCGTTCAACAATTCAGACGTGCTCGCA